TCTTTATTAGTCCCAGCAGGTTGTCCTTTAGGATTATTACCTTTATTAGGTTTTAATAGAATTCATATCATATCTTGCACGTAATGTTTCTCTTGGCTTTAAGATTAGCAGCTAACATAACTGCAGGTCATATGTTATTAAATATTTTAAGTGGTTTTACTTATACTATAATGAGTTCAGGATTTATCTTTTTTGTACTCGGTTTAATACCTTTAAGTTTTATTGTTGCCTTTTCAGGTTTAGAGTTAGCTATTGCTGTAATTCAAGCTCAGGTTTTTGTGGTATTAACTTTCTTCTTATATAAAAGACGGTTTAGATTTACATTAATTTAACAAGAATATGATATTTATATTATTATTATTATACAATAGAATTTATTTCTTCTATGAAATAATGGCAATAAAATATGCCTTCTAAGATGGCTTATATTTATTTAGGTATTATTATTATCAACACGCTTGTTAATTTAATATTTTTGGGGATATTTGAGATGGATACTATTAATAGTCTAATTAGTAGTAATAGTGTTACTGAAATAGGTAATGAAAAAATAATTTTGCAATTAGATCACAGTAAAGTTCAGAATTTAGTACAAACGCCGCAAGAGGCCCCGCAAGAGGCTCCGCAAGAGGCTCCGCAGGAGGCTTATCAAGAGGCTCCGGCTCCACAGGAGGCTGTTATTATTGAAAGTAAAAATAAATTAGATTCAATGGAGGCTAAGGCTGAATCTAAAGTAAAAAACCCAAATTCCTTTGAAGGACATACATAAACGTCTTTTATCTGTAGATAAATCTACACTTTTCCTAGCTATTTCCAGGAAAGCTCTATACCTCAAAATCTCTGAGAACGTACCTGTGTACGGTGACAAATTAGTTACTTTTAAACCTTCATTTTTATTACAAAATCGAAATTTACCTGAGATGTTTATTGAAATCCCCCAAAAAACAAATATAGGTAAACTTACTGAACTCCGTATAGCTATAGACGGAGCAGATGAAGCTGTAAAGGTTATATGATTCACAATTTATTAAATTTAATGATGTTTTGTCAGGTATCCAAGATGGTACCGAGAAGTTTTACCCTAACGAAGCTAAACCTTTAATGGAAACATATGTAGATCTTGTAACTAAATTAAGTAATCAACAGAAGGTTATGGCTAATGAAGCCATAAATAAACTTCATCAATTGGACTCTAGATTTTCTCGTGACTTATATCCGATTGAAAGTAGTACGTCGCAAACTGGAACTGTTCCAGTTCCGGGAACTGGAACCGGAACTCACCCCGGAACTCACCCGGTTCCGTAACTGACCCTGAAACAGTAACTGGATTACAGATATGGAGCTATTGAGGGATAGCTTTCGGTCTATTCTAGCCTATCGTTATATATATATAAGGTTAGTTACTAGCTTTTAATAAAAATAACTCCCACTTTTATAATTAATGTATATATAGATAAATAGTAATAATACCATATTAGCCTTATTAGCGGGTAGTATATTTATATTACCGATGTAATTTGATTATACCTTTATTTTTATGGACCTAGCGGCTCTCCGGGACTCGGTTATTCCGTACTTACTAAGTAAGACTTTTTATATCAAATTATAAAGCCTATTAGTATTTCCGTTTTTCCTTAC